ATTGCGAAAAAAAAATATATAAAAAAATACCAGTTTGATGAGATCCAATACCCCCCCCCCCCCCCGTTGAGTGAGGGCTGATATCGTTGAGGGGGTACTCGAGTATCGACGTGGGTGACGGGACAGCAAGGATTAAGAAATCCACGCCAATACCTAGATTTTTTAATCCTTGTGTGTCCCGTCTCCTAAATCTATCGCTGGGTACAAGTAAAGATAGGGGGCACCGGTTACCCGGACCGGAAAAAAAAAAAAAAAAAAAAAAAAAACCGAAATCTCGAAAGGGCGAGGGTTGGATAAGAATTATAGCAACAACACACACCCTTTAGACTAGTCCAACCGGATAGGAGGATGTGGACAGTTGTGAAAGGAGAACTACCGGTAGTTCTGCTGCAAGGTTCCATGGCCGAGTAACACCACGGTCGCTCTAATAACAATGGGAAGAAGAACACTTTTTTTGTCAACCCCTTTAACCGGTCGTTTAATAGTGGATAACTTAACATGTAACGGTATGTTGCAAAGATGCCCACATGAGGAATCCTTGGCGCCAAGGATCTGCACTCACACTGTTGCCCCTCCCTCCCCTCGACGGGGACTTGCATTAAAATGTTTGGATAACCGGGACTCTGCGAAAATAGGCGGGTAAATTAAACAAGTGTAGTTTCTACAGTACTCGAGTTCAGTACAGTACTCGTATTGGGCTACTGCTATCTACACCTACGGTACTCGTACAGTACGGGTACTGTGCTCTGCCGGTCGGCAAGCCATTGTGCGATTGGGATACCATAGGAGTGACTCGCCCGGGCCTAAGGAGGCGGCGGCAAGCTCCGTTTTTTTTCCCATCAACGGGGTCTTACTGTGGCAGCTATCCGCTCCACCTATCATCACATTGGCGAAGAATAAATCGACTTGGCTACGATGCCGACAGAACAGCACTTTCCATGACTTACAAACACCCCATACTGTACTGTACTCATCACAGAAAAATAAAATATAAAAAAATAGATGGATCCAATCATAATCCTCTCCTCACATAATATATATATATAACACAAACAATACGGTAACTAAACAGCATCAATCCCTCCCCCCTCCCCCGCCAATACCTCCCTCTCTAACAGCACCTCGCCCACCTCCCTCAGCAAACCGCGAAGCCGGCTCTCCAGCTCCTCCCTCCTGAGAACGTTCTCCTGCAGTCGCTCCATCTCCGCTTTGTACTTCTCCATGGCGTGCAGTTCCGCCCACTTCTGTCTCCGCTCTTCCACCGCGTGCTGTCGCTCGGTGGGATTGGCCGTGCCGGATGGCTTGCTTAGCGGTTGGAGGGCGGTCAGGCGTGCGGTTGTGGCGGCGAAATAATTGTTGAGCAGGTGCAGCTCCGACTGCGCGTATGAGCGCAGGGAAGTTAGCGAGCTTTCGCTGTTGGAGATTGTTCCCAGGAGGGACACGTAGTGGTGCAGTGCTGGGGCGTTTGGAGGGTGCAGGAGGTGTTTCTGTTGACCGGGCTGCGAGGTCTAGTTAGTCGGGTGAGCGAGACGGGGAGGAGGAGGGAGTACCGTACCATTTTTTCCGTACTAAGAGGGTGGTTTGCTTCGAATATAAAGGGACCGGCCTTTCCAGAAGAGAATAAAGAAGGGAAGATTAAGATTTAAAAACTTTTTTGGTGGTGAAAGGGGTCTCTCTCTCTTCATTGATATATACTCCACCATTCTTGGCAATAGGAGATGTGTTCGTAGTTTCGAAGCAGATCCGAGACGTTTCGAGCATTGAAAAACACCCCCTCAGGGGGTAACACCTGGGTAAGGATGTTTGTGCCAGGATGGAGCTCAGGTCCGACAACACTTCTTACGAGTAGTCATTTAGCGCCCCGGTTTTGGAACGGTTAACCGAGGGAATACCGGTAGCCTATCATAATTGTGTCTTACAGTATTGGAAAGGTGGGATTCGTGATTACCAGGGAAGTCGGTCTACTTCGGGGGGCCACGGTCGGTGAGGCCGTGTGATATTGCCGACATTATGGGTGAGAGTATTATATCATAGATAGGGGCTTTCAAGTCAGGAGATTCAATCTTCTTCCTCATATTGCCCAAATCATTAAGCCGTTATCCCACTTTCTCTCTTCCGAGCTCTCATCATCATCCGAGTCTTCACCAAGACTGCTTAGTTTCCTAGTGCCCGAGCAAGTGGCCATCACCACGCCCCCTGGATGAATCGCAACACCGCTGACTACATCGTCATGAGCTTTCCACTCAAACCCCTTCTCGCCCTTCCCACCCGTCCCCCAGACGCTAACCATCCCACCAATCCCACCAGATACCACTTCCCCCTCGAGCGAATACGCGATATCAACCCCTATCCTCTGATTTGTCTGCGCCATCCTCCCCTCAAGGCTCTCCACCTTCTCGCCAGCAACGCGAACATCGTAAACGGATATCACGTCACTCTTCCTCTCAACAACATGTAGATACCTCCCACATTTACTCCATAACAATTGCGTAATACCACCGCCCTCGCCATCAACCGTGAACACGCCGATGGTGCTTCCACTCCCGCAATCATCATAGAGCCCCACCTGGCGTGAGAGCGTCCCGGCAGCAAGAACCCCATTATCGATAGCCAGAGCCGAGACAACCCCCTTCATAGTCTCACCGGTCTGCACGCTCCGTCGCGTCGGGATAGTTTTAAGATCTAGATACGGCCCCTCGCCGGGCCGCTGAAGGTCAAAGAAGGATATCTGGGAAGTGGCTCCGGCGATAAACTTGTTTGCGTCTTTGGGCGTGAAAAGCATCGACTGAGGGGAGAGGTACTTTTCGGTTTGCGGGTTGATGAGCGGGTAAGAAGCGCGGGTGTTTGATACGAGGAGGTCGTGTAGATGGATCGGGTGGTCGCGCGTGGACTTCAGGAAACAGCAGGTCGCCGGGTCGGCGAGGGACATGGAGGGGTAAATCGCGAGGCATGATACCGGTTCCGCGGACGCGGTTTGCGAGTACGGCGTTAGGGATTTCGGCGCATCGGAAGGGTCAAGAAGATCCACCGGTCTTTTTTTATTTTTTTCCACGGAAGTGTCAGCACAGAATCAAGCAAGGTGATACGAGGAGAAGTAGGAGGAATATCTTTACAGGACAAACGTGCGGAGAATGTTGTCCTCGCTGTTTGAAAGGACACATGTTCCATCCGGGGACCACTGCGCGCTCTTGAAGAGATTACTCTCATGTGGATTTCCTAGGCCTGACCATTTTTGCACGGACAATTCCCTGGCAGAGGTTTCGGCGACAGTGCAATTATAGGTTGTCCCCGTAGAAGCGACAAGTTTCGGAGGTTTTAAGAGGGACATTTGTTGTTAAGACAGGGTGGGTGTGCAATTGATGCGGCTCTTCGAAAGCTTATCACGACTCCCGCCCGAGCCCTCTACTTAACCCCAAGTTAGGCACCGATCAGGTCCAATTTCAGGAACGACACCGACACCCACTTGTCTGATTTTAGATATCAATTATTATTATTATGATAAAACAATTATTATTACAGAACCTCGTTGCAAATGAAATAGTGGGATACCAAATAATGCGGTAACCCAACTTTCAGGCCCCCAAATTGATTCTTGTTTCCATCAAAATTGTCGATATCATAGGTGTAGGATAGCTGATGTTTTTAGTATCATATTGCTTGTATTCTGCTCCTTTCGGATGTCTTATCATTCCTTCGAATATCATTAGGAAATGGGCAATGACTGTGTGATGATAGATAGGCCCTCGGTAAACCCTAGCTCTATCTTTGGAGAAGGCCTATACTGCCGTCATCTTTTCCCATTCGACCGGGGTGCTCACCGGCTTTGTTAATCTTCTTCTCCTTCTTCTCCTTCTTTCGGGGGAGAGATTTATGATACAAGATGCCAATCGTGTTGCAAAGGCTGAATATCAAGGTTCACTCTGTGAGCGCATTACCGTGCTGTGAAAGGGTTTAAAATACCATCGACTGTAGGGGTATAATAACAATATTATGTCAAATATTCGGTACTGTACAGTACTCGTACAGTACTTGTACAGGTACAAAACCATCGCATGCAATTTTTGATCCCGCCAGCACCAAGACGTAAATTTGCACCGTCAGAACGATGAATATCCATCCACTCCTAACGAGTTAAGCGAAAAAGGCTACCCTTTTTTAAGAAAGCAATTCTACCTGTAAGGGACGCTTAAAATTGTAGAAAAAATTAAAAAGAAAAAAAAATATCGAAGGTTTCCTGCAATTTTTACAATTCTTCTCGATTGAATCGTGACTAGATCAAGTGTGTTGAAAATCACATTCTTCCATCATGATTCTGTCTTGGTGTGGCAGGTGGGTGAGGTCAAAGACTGCATTGATGGAACGCGATGGTATATCAGACATACGAGTACTAGTACAGTACCGGTATACCCCTGGGATCGATGGCATTTTAAACCCTTTCTCCGTATTACTGCAGTCGGTTTAGGGAAGGATCAACCAGCATTCATATCATAGGAAAATGGTATTATTCATCGCTATCCTAATGCCTTTCAACAATCCACGTCCCCTGACCGATGGTCCCCGTTCGACTGCTACCGGTAGCTGTAGGCTCGGAGGTGGGTGCCCTCTTTCCCGCACTCAACACTACCGGTATTGGTGTTTGCACCTCTATGGTCTGGGGAACTATCGAGTCTGCCAACTGTTGATGCAGGAAGTCCGACGGGTGGAAAAGGGACTATGCATGTGATGGAAGACCACCGGAGACCTTGATAGAAGTTATTCGAAGAGAAGGAACGACAGTAGTAAGGAAGCAGGAAATGGATGGAATGCAGGAAGCATAGGATAGAGGTTCCTGGTTGATGGAAATGGATGGTTGGTTGTTTCCTTGTGGGGGGTTGCAGAGAATAGTTTCATCTTTGGTTTTGGTGGAAAGTTTCGGAAAGGAAGAGGCTCATGTGGTTATGAGGAGAATTTCCTTTGTGCTTTCTATTTATATTTGTCTTTTCCACCGATGTGGTGAGAGAAGAGTCAGGCATCGTTTTTCCTCAGATCAATATCATTGAATTTTACCGTTTACCCCCGCTGTGCACAATAGTCTCACTAAGACGAACACTCACTAGGGGTAAGTGCTGCGCGGGAAGGGCGAGGCAATCGCATCTCTTCCCTTCAAGGCGCTGTGGTATCCCTATGGCGCATATGATGCGTTGGCCGTTTACCGGCACATGATTCTGGTCTTCTGTCAGTGTACAGTACAGTACGGTATACCGCCTCTACACCATGGTCCGTTGTGAGGGATTTCGTTGTGGGAGGGGATGTGCTCTAATTCCCATCGAGGTGGCGCCGTTAACAGGATACCGGTATACTGTACGAGTAAGTGGTGGTGACATAAAACCAAGAGGATCAGGGTGGGGGATATGGGCATCTGGAGCGGGAGGGTGGATTCAACCGTGCCTGACGATGGGTATAGGAAGGTATCATACAGCACCTATGTTTTGTATGTTATAAGACACGAGTCGCTCACACCGCTAGTGTAACATACAAAACTTAGGCGCTGTACCTCCGTAGAAGATAGTTGTGTACGGCAGACGGCTTGGGATTTTTCGTTTAATGCGTTTTCTTTGGCCGTTCTAAATGATATGCCGTGTTGTGCTTGTTTGCCTCTTCAGAAGCCCCGGTTTATTTGGTAGGGGCGCAGCACCGACTATAACCAGAGGGATCACGGTTAGCCAATATCCGGACCACTTCCGCAACCCCAGCAGTCAAGCCCAAATTCTCCCTCACAAAAACCAACTCCCTCCGCACAAACAGTCCCAAGAACCTTCCAACCCTTTGGCTGAAGCCGACAAACAGAAACTGCACTTTTATTGATAGGCCCATTTGTGGCGCAACATGGTAGTATCACGGACCAGCCCGAGCGGCCTTCAGCACCAGTACCGTATTCGGCTATGATAAGCGCAACGGAGACATTCACTTTCAATCGACATTCCGCCCGGGGTCGAAAAAGCTTTTTTTTATTGTGCAGTTTCGGGTGGGTCTGCCAGATTCGCATGCGAAAAGAGTCGAGAAACACCAAAAGTCCTCAACTCGAAAACTTGCATAAACCTTTTTCAATTCCGGGGCTGGATGGCTCCGATAAGAGAGATCAGAGCCGATGTTGTGTCTTCGGCTGTATCCGTTCTTGCACTTGAGTGAGCCTGGTTGGCGTACCGGTATCCTGTGTGCGACGGCGAGTCAACACAACCCCTGGATGGCGAATGTCCCTTGCTTGCTCATCCTGGAGCGCTGTGCTCGAATAGATGTCCCCAGCTACGGCACTCGTATCATACTCGTACAATACAGTACTTGTACCGTACTGTATCGCAATGGCCTGAATTTCGGGATAGGGGAGGAAGCTGGTTCGTGATCCTCGCGCCACAAATTGGATTGCCCCTGCCAATATTAATGCCTTATTTCAAACGGTCGAATTGAGGCCTGTGTGATTCCTTCAGCCTGCGAGAAAAGGTTCTTAAAATACCATCGATTTCGGGGGTATGTGTTTAATGCACAGGTACTGTACCATGACATATTATACCATCGGTAGGGGTGGTGGAAAGAAACACGGTCCCCATGGGCGTTTTGACACTTTCTGTCCAGGAGATGTCTTGGCAGATGCCCCTGAAAAAGGGGTTCAAAAATAGAAATTTTTCTTGGTTGAATTGTGACTGGATAAAGTGTCTTGAGAAAGCTGTACTGTAATTACACGTACTTGTATTCTCTTAAAGTATCGTGAGGTCAAAGGTTCTGCCCTCTTTAGGGCAGAACATTTCCAAAACCGGCAAAGGAGGGTCTGAGTTTCGGACACGGGGACCGTCTTTATTTCCTCCACCCTACCGATGGTATGTAATGTCTCCACCCTAACAGCTGTCAATTAGCCTCGTTAGCCCGCTCTCAACCCCAAATCCATTGTCTAGAGAGATCAAATTCTTCCAATGCAGAACCAAATTCCAACAAGGTAACACGTTACCCTTGCTTCCCGGTCCAGCGAGTGCGAGAGCTGGCACCCAATTTTATACAGCGGGGTTTGATATCCAATGACCGAGATCCGTGATGGTCGGTGCCACTCGAGCCGAAGCTACTCGAGCACTGAAAGTGTCAAACAATCCATCGTCCCTGCATAGTTACTTTATAGCACGTGATGGCGATCAGGTACGCGTTTGTTGCTGTATCCCTCAGTGTCTCTGAAACAGTCGGCGATACAAGGATAAATAAATTATATTGAATGAAACAGTCAAATTCGGCCACTCTACGCCCGTCCAGGGGGGGACTTGAGTTTTGTGATTTGTTGAGAATATTGGGCTCAACGAGAGCACTGAGTCATTTGAGCACTGAAAATAAACGAAAATCCTGCTAACTGCCGTCGGATATGACCCTAGCGTCCGGTAATCTATGGAAACCGGGGGATAATACCCTAATACTGTGCTTCCGAGAGTTCCCAATCCACCTCCCCAGTATATTCCGCAAGCAAAACCCGTTCAACAATTCGTCCTCTTGAGAAGTTTGCGTCCTCCGGCCAGTACGGCAATTCCATCCTAGCGCCAGCAGTACTCCATGGTTCCTGGATTCGAGACAGTAGGAACCTCTTTTCAGTTTGCGTGGCCGAGCTTTATTTGTCCTCTCGCGTTGCCTAGAATGTCGCGACGCTAGAAAATACCGTACCGTTAAAACACAGTAACCTATCGCTGTGACCACCACAACCCCTAAGGAGCATTGACAGTTCGAGAGAGCTGAATAAAACCCCCTTCATTTCTTGGCCATCGAACATCCACTTGGCCAGGTTTAGTAATGATCTCTGAAATGCCTGTTGGCGGTCCTCCAAAGGGGTGGTTGGCCCGGGGTGCAAATCTCCACCCAAACGACGATCATCTATCATACCTTTTACCCCGCTAGTCCACCATGACTAGCGAGATGTGGTCAGGGCTTTCGCAAATGACAATGAAGTAGGACTAGGGTTGCTCACAGTCTGGCTTCCCGGAACCCTACCCCACCGAGTAGCGGGCCAGCCGTGGTCTACTTGTATGCATACCGGTATTTGTGTGATATCATACGATGGATTGACTTTGGCTGGAATTGTGCTGTCGGGTTTAGGTATTCTTGTGTCGGTATACGTTTGGCCCGAGTCCCCTGCCCTTTCCAGTGATGGCATAAAACGTGCTAACTTTCACCAATAACTTCAGTTGATCCTCCAAAGTTTGTCACCGTCCATGGATATTCTAATGCTTGCAAGCTACATTTTTCCACTCGTGCGGCTACTATGCTCCAGTCATATCCTAAGCCATAGTACTAGTAGCTTAGCCGGAGATGGTAAGTCACCCG